TTTCCTATCCTGTCCCTCCTGTACAGCCTATAGCCCTCAACATTCACTGCCCAATCATGCTTGGAGTCCCACCAAGTCTCCGTAATCCCCACAATGTCCGGGCTGGTGTCAGCCAGCAGGAGGGCGAGTTCCTCCTGCTTGTTCCCCATGCTTTTTGTGTTAATATCTGCTTTCAGGAGATGCAATATTGAAGATGGGTCCTTGTACTTGAAGGAGAAGGTGGTAGGGTTTGTGATAGCCCTAAGTATACCAGGGTCATAGTTTGAAACTGGGAAATTATGGATAAAATTGGAGTGTTGGAAATTAGGCCTAATTAGTGGACAGGATGGATGATCTATTTCATCCTTCATGCCCCTTAAAAAGTTTTTGGGGAGTGAGAATATGGGATCATACGAGGTTCCCTTGAGAAAGGCTAGGGGTCTTCTGCTCTGCTTCAGAGACTCTGCTGTTCACTGGTGAACCTCACAGATAATCTGGGACAGATGTCACTACACCATAGAGGATGTCTGAATTAGCAATTGCAGACTTTTAACATGCAAGATCTTGCACCCTTCATTGGGCCTACCTTTCCAGCCCACATCACTTTTTCCTTTCTCAACTTTTGACATGATCCTAAGGCCAAATGCAAGATCTAGCACCAGCACAGTGAAACTGGCCAGCCTGAGGAGGACCCATGAAACTGGAAGCTCTTGAGAACATTACAATCCTGTCTCAGACTAGTTAAACAAGATAGGGCCCAGAGCAACGTCTGTTGAGGCTAACCTGCTACTCCAAAGCTTCTGTTTGGGACTAATAGGTTGCCTTGAATCCTAGGAACTTCAGCAGAAATCTGTATTTTCCACCTATTTGTTATCCTATCCTTCCTTTTTTTTTTTTTTTTTTTTTTTTTTTTTTTTTTTTTTTTTTTTTTTTTTTTTTTTTTTTTTTATCTGTCTGCTTCAAAGCAGGGATGACTATTTCCGTCCCTTTCTTCCCCATTCAGAAGGACTCTTTGACAAAACCAGGGACTCTACCCAACATCATGTGAAGAGTTTAGATTATAGAAGAGTTTAGATTATAGAAGTGTTTTGCCTAATCAGCCATTTTCCATTTAAAAGGCTTTGCGCCGGTTTAGACTATTTGTGCGCTGTGTATCACAACCAGTACACTTTCAGATACTGGCTATTTTAGCATGCTTGCATGGGACTGAGTAGGCCAGACCCTCTGATTCAGTACTCTCTGTCACATTTAACTGTATGATGTTTAGTGACAGGGTTATATCAATACCTTTGACTTTCTGGTGCCTTTATATATTGGTGAAAATATAACCTATAAAAAAAAACAAGCCTTTGTTGTATTCATGTAGGTGTGGTTCTTTATTTGCTTCTACTGGCATGTCTCTGTGTGGGCTGCACTGAAAATTCCACCTTTATCAGGTATGGAACAAAGAAAATAAATCATTTCTGTCTATCAGTAAGCTATGGGGGATTAAAAACTTCTCTCTCCAATGTGATTGTTAATTTACAGAAACCCATAAAGGCCAGGCTCAGCGCCAACCACTTCAGTATTATTTGTGCTCCAACATTTTTTCTTTTGATGTTCAGCAGTGCATGACTTGCTAGACAACTCTCATTCCACACAGACAGATGAATCGCTGCCTCAAACGCACACAACTTTCCCGTCTTCCCTGCTTCTCAAATTGGTAAAGCTGCAGGGAGTGGCTTTACCTTGTACAAAACTATGTTTCCCAACTTAGACTTTTCAATATGGCGTAAGTTTAAAGATGTTACAATACCGTATAATAGGTGAAGGGCGAGGGGAAAAATTAAAAAGGTGATCACATGTCTGGCATGTTGATACACTAGTTCTTGCAGTATAAAAATGGTAGGGAGCTGAAGAGAAAACCCAGAAAATACCACTATTGGTAGCAATGAAGTTTGTGAAGTAACTTAATAAGATCTGTTATTTTACTTGTTTTACATCAATTTACTTAGCAGTTCATACTAGAAGTTCACAGAATATAACTGCAAATGAGGAATTATTCTCAATTATGTTGTTTTCACTCAGGTGCCACAAGGAACTGGTTTCTGTCCCATGCTATTCAAAATCTATATTACAGATTTGGAAGAAAACATAAACCCAGTGCTGGTAAAATGGTGGTGACAAGAAATGGTGGTCTTTTAAGTATGGGGAAAATTCAGTAATGCACCCAGGCCTGGATCACTTGGTAAGGTGATATGGACAACAATGAGTCAAATGCAAAGGCAGCGTTTACGAACAAAGAACATAGGCTGCACTTCCAAGATGAAACATGGTAACCTGGAATGCAGAGACAATGAAAAGGAGTAAGGTGAAGTGACCCAAGTGAACATGACCAACTCTCAGTATGATGCTGTAGCTGAAAGGACTGGTGAGATCCGTGGATGTATAAACATGGTAATACCAAACAGGAGTGGGGAAGTAGCGTTACATCTATATGCAATAGTGAGACAGCCCCTGCAATGTGGTATCCAGGTCTGGCATTCACATTCCAAAAGGAAGCTGAAGTACTGGAAGGGATTCAGGTAAAAACTAGAAAGCAATCTGAGGTCTGGAAAAATCACTTCCTAGTGAGAAATGTGAGTGGCTTAATTAATCCACTGGGTAAGATGTGCCTTGATCAAAACCTACAAGCATCTACATGGCAAAGAGATTTCTGATAGTAGAAGCCACAACACAGATCCAGTGGATGGAGGCTGAAGTGGTATAAACTAGGACTGAGCCACAAATGTTGAATGATGAACAACATCCCTTGAGATGTGGTGGATTTTCCATAACTTCAAGCCTTTAAATCAAGGCCAGATATATAGCACCAATAGAAATTTTGACCTTGATGTACAAGGTTGTGGGTGAAGTCCTTTGGCCTGTTGTGTATGTGAGATCAGATTAGATCAGTACTTCCCAACCATGGTGCTACATTATTTGCATCCCCACCTGCCACTGTTGCTTCCCTGCACTTACTTCCTGGAAACAGGTGCACAGGGCAGTTTATCTAACAAATTTAATACAGGCAGGAACACCCCCCTCCTGTTATAGTTGATTCCCGGTCTGGCCCTGTATGCACCTCCTGGAAACTGGGGAGCTGCTAAATTCAGAAAAGTTATGGCACAGTGGCGTAAGCCTGAAAAGGTTGAGAACACCCTGGGTTTGATAAATACAATGGTCCCTTCTGCCCCCAAAGCCCAAGAGTCTTTTCTATTTTTTCCCATGAGCAAAGTTTGTCTTGTCTGTTGTCTCATTTATTAAGATTTAGAGTAAAGTCTGTTTACAAAGGAATGTTTCTACTGGATTTTTCAAATATTATTTGTGGAAACATTTCTAATGGTGTTTATTTTTTATCAAGACTTGTCTGTATGCATTTCAGGCAGAAGGTAGAGCAAGTTGACACCTTAAACACTAACTGGTTCAAAGATGCCTGACCTTTCAGAGGCAATGGCGTATTTCAGGGGAGATCAAGATCTGGCCTGTAAGCCAGATCTGGCTGTGGAGCCATATTATCCAGTCCACGGGGCCTCCCCACAAGTCCAGAAATTTGGTGACAGGGGAGCAGTGGCAGCATCAATTGCTTCAGCTCCTGGAGCCGCAACAATTAACGCTGCCATAACTCATCTTGCTGCCAAATTTCCAGACTCGTGAGAAGCCCCAAGGGCCAAATGAAGTGGCCTCGTGAGCTGGACTGGGCCCACAGACTAGACCCCATGCCAGATTGGGCCTGCGGACTGACCCTGTATATAGGATTGGGCCTGTGGACTGGCTCCACTCCACTCACTCAGCCTGCAGGGCCAGATGAGTTAGGCACCATTTGCCTACTTCATGATATGCTTTTCAGTGCTTCTCATTCCCCATCTATATTTTGACTGTTTGTTTATGTGATCTTGGCTTCTGCCTATCTGCATTACAGAAAACAACAACTAAAAATAACTACTAGCATGGAGTACGAAACATGAAAATGCCATGTACACTCACAGCTTCATTCCAGTTTTTGTGAAACACACACTGAAGTGAAGAAACACATAGTGAAATGACAGCAATATGCATGCTGTATTGGAAAGCACAATGCTAGGCAGCAGGTTTCCTAGGTCTGTCTGTGTTCAGTAACTGGCTTCTCCGGTATCATCATATGAGCATGGGATGCACCTCATACTTGAACAGCATGTGAAGTTGGTGACATGCCTTTAGGCACTGGGAACTGCCTATAAAAGAGTGCTTCAGAATAAACTGTTGCAAGCCCTACTGAAGAGACAAAGCAAGGCAGCATGTAATCTGACAGAAGCGAAGGAAGAAACCAGTATGTTAAGAAGGTGTCTTTTAGGAGTCTTGAGAATGATACCTGGAAATATCACGTTTGAGTCCATGTTGCCTGGACCTAGCTAGCAGGAGTATAGTTCTGTCTAATAAGACAATTCATTGCTCTCCACACAATCAGCAGTGTATATAAAAAAAAGGTGTAAGGCTTTATATTAAAAAAAAAAAAATCCTCAGGGGAAGGAAGGAAAAAAACGCGAAACAGATAAACAGCTGACACTCAACAGGAACACCAGATTTAAAGTTGTACAAATGCTTGGGTTTGGTAGTAATATGCCAGTTGGTATTCCAGAAGCATTGAAGTGGCCCTTACCGGGTTTTCCGTCTGGTTGATTCCAATAAGGAAGACCAATTCAGAGAAGAAAAGAGCTGCCACCAGATTTTTGTGAATGCTATGCAAGTTTGAGTGCAGTGTCCGGATCAGAGCCAGCAGTATAAACGTCATCAACAAAGCCACCAGTGAGATGGATACAGTCGTGTAAGTGACTATCTTTAGAGGAAGCACCTCGCCATTCTGTGAAGTGAAAAATTAAACACATCTGAGCGAATCCTACATTTTAAAAGGGATTCAGGAGATTCCTTAGAAAAGTGAGCCTTTTAGTTAATACACAATCAAGAGATTCTCTGTGGAACAGATGGAAGTTGGGGCAACAGTGACTCAACGGCTTGAGCAGGAACAAAATGTATCATAAATAAGCCCTTTTAAGTGTTAGGTTCAGGGGATTAAAACTATAAAACTTTCATTAAGCCTGTTTCAAACCACCTAACAGGTTCTACTTTGGTTTGGATTTATAGCTTCCTGAAGAAAATCAGTGTTAACAGGAAATAAACAAATATGCCAAGACAAACCTCCTCAGGATATCAAATATAAAAAAAAATCCTGTCAAATGGACATTTTCATAGTGTCTAACATGCTGTTTTTCAGTAGATACGTGATTTTGTCCATTGTGGAGGATAATGATGGGAATTCAATTAAAGTAAAAGGCATACTTAATCACAGCTAGTCTACAGTACAGATATCTTCAGGAAGCTGCATGTGAGCCTCTTTCCTTGACATCCTATGCCTATGTTGGAACTAGTCTTCATTAGTTTTGAGCAGAGAGCCTAGTTTTCTCTATTTAAAAATCACAAATTCTCTGATAAAAATGGCAAATTTTCTAATTAAAAAGCCCCCAAATCTGCATTTTTCCACAGTTAAAATGAAACACCACTATAGGTATAAGTACTGGTTGAACACAATGTTTTATTGATATATTTACAATTTTAAAGCAGATTGGAAGCCTACCAGTGCCTCAATCATTACAATAAAAAAAATTCAAAATACCTCTATATTTTGGCATTTGATTTTGTATTTTTATTATGGAAAATCAGAGCCCCCCCTGCCCCTGGCTGTCTCCCCTGCTGCTTTATGGCACTAAGCAGCCTTGATATATTGATGCCCTCCCCTGCCCATGCTGTTGTCCCTCACTCCTGACGCACAGTCCCCCGGCACTGCCAGTGCCCCTCACTCCTGACCCACAGCCCCTTACTCCCAGTGCGAGGAAGGGAGTGGGTGTTTGTGTGGAAGGTGGGGTATGGGCACTGGCGATACATGGGGGGGGGGTTGGGGAGACATAAGTGATGTGGCAGGGGGGCACGGGGGGCATATGCCCCCCC